AAAATCGTTTATGATACAAAAACCTTTATAAAAAAAAACCTTTTAAAAGCAAAAAATATTGTTACGTATTATAAAATTTTGTAACTGTTTTTTTAACGAAATTTCATCTATTTAATTCTTTCTTTCTGGACTAAAAACCAACAGTATGAAGTTTTATTCCAGTAGGATGACAATACCCCGAGCCGACTTGAAGATAAACTTAACCAAAAGAACTTGAACAGAGATTACACCAATATGAGACAGGACTTAATATCTTGAGGGTGGTCTTTCCACAGCCATAGTTTATCTTCTGGTTGCTTTTGGTTAAAATTCTTTCGTTGTTGTGGGTTCAGGCTACCTACTTTGATCCCCTTGCTCCTTGTCGATCAATCTTTTGTTCATGTGTAAATGGTAGCTATTTACCTGGTTGGTGATGGGATACCACGGGCTTCAGCAAATTTCGGAACCGTCAATTTTATCGACCGCGGAGCTGTGAGGTTGCTCAGTCAAAATAAAAATCATGACTTTATGTTCCCTAGGTGATCTCAGCTGCAGGCATTTTTTGGCAATCAGCTGATAGTGTTTTTACTTAGGAAACTGTGCGATAACATCATGAAAAGCTCTTTCGGCAGAAAGCATTTGTAAATAAGTGCACAAAGCCCTAGCATGTCATTCGAGATATGCGAGCTTTCAGTCCTAGGGCAGCGGAATTTCTTAAATTTATTTATTTTTAATTAATTAATTAATTTTCTTTTCATTTTCCGATTTAATTGTTTTAAAAAGAAAAATATACATCCATGTTTTTTAATTAAATTTTATTTTTATTAACTTATTTAATTTTTTAGGTTAGTTTTGGTTTTTTTATTCAAATTTTATTTTTCTAAATAGAAAACAATTTCTAGTTTCATTTTATTTTTGGGAATTTATTTAATCTTTGTCCTTTTTTAATTCAAATTATTATTTTTATTTTATTTTTTTATTAAATTTTAAGATTATATTGTTTTAAAAAGAAAAATATTCATTTAGTTTTTATGAACTTTTTTAAGTTTTTTCTTTTATTAATATTTTTTTTCTATTTTAAATTTCTTTGCGTCTAATTTTACTTTTAGAAACTTACTATACTTTTTTATTTATAGTTATTATAGAACGGTCGCAAAAACCATCATTATTTTTATACCTTTCATGAGCATGAAATGGTATTATAACTTTGGTCCGATGTTTGTAAGTACCAGAACACAAAGAGATAGACCCATTAAAATGTATACTTATATGATCAGAACGTCGAGCTGAGTTGATTTAGCCATGTCCGTCTGTCCGTCTGTCCGTCTGTCTGTCTGTTTGTATGCAATCTAGTCTCTTAGTTTTCGAGATATCCGGATCAAATTTGGTAGGTGGGTGTATTTTTATAATGTATTAATCATTTGTCGGAACCGGAAGAATCGGACCACTATAACATATAGCTCCCATACAACTGATTGTTCAGATATGAGATTTTTCATTATAACTTCTCCATTTATGCAGCTGCGAACATGAAATTTTGCAATACTTGCACCCATTATCAACAGAATACTTACAGTGAAAATTACAAAGATCGGGTCACTATAACCCATAGCTCCCATACAACTGATTGTTCAGATATAAAATTTTTCGTTATAACTCCTCCATTTATATAGCTAGGAACATGAAATTCCGCACTGTTTTCAATACATATCAACAGAAAACTTAGGGTGAAAATTAAAAACATCGGGTAACTATAACCTATAGCTCCCATACAACTGATTGTTCAGATATGAGATTTTTCGTTATAATTCAACCATTTATGTAGCTAGGGCCATGAAATTTCGCGCTGTTTTCACTCATTATCAACAGAAGACTTACAGTGAAAATAACAAAAATCGGGTGACTATAACCTGCAGACCCCATACAACTGATTGTTCAGATATGAGGTCTTTTATCATAACTCCTCCATTTATGCAGTTAGGAACATGAAATTTCGCACCATTTTCACTCATTATTAACAGAATACTTACAGTGAAAATAACAAGGATCGGATGACTACAACATATATCTTCCATACATATGATTGTTCAGATATGGGATTTTACTTTAAAACTTCTTTATTTGAACAGCTAAAACCGATAAATTTCGTAAGATATTTTATAAATAATAATACAAAGTCTACTGAGAAAATCATCAAAATCTATGCTGTATAAGCTTTATCTCCTATAGCACCGATTGTTCAGATACCAGTTTTTGCCATATATCTCCTTTATGTAGGAAACTAAATCCAATAAATTGTGTTACCGGTTTACATACCGATCCCACAGCAGTGAAAATTACTTAGATTGGTGTCATATAAAGTATATCTTCCAAACCTCTGATTGTTTAGATGCGATTTTTTATATAAGTATGTAACTCCTCTATCGATGTATGCAGATGTATTCAAAATCAGTAATCTGTCAAAGTAAAATTTGCAGATGTTCATGAGAGGTATGAAGCCTTCGGCATAGCCGAAGACAGCGCTGCTCTTACTTGTTTATTTATATTTTTGCTTGTTTTTTGCAATTTTAAATTTTATTGTTTTAATAAGAAAAAATATATATTTTTAAATTGATTTAGTTGCAAGGAACTTATTTTTATAATTTAGTAATTTTTATTATTTATTATTTTTTAATTCACTTTTAAGATTTTTTTTTAAGTGAAATATATCTTTATAACTTCATTATTTATTTTTCTTAATTTGTTTACGCTTTTCTTCTAATTTAATTTCTTTTTTAATTTTTGGACGCTTTCTTTATTATTTAGTTATATCGTTTGCATTAAATTTTTAGATTTATTTTTTTTTAAGAAAAATATATTATCTATTTTAATGCCTTTATTTTAAGTCCTTTTAATTTTTGAAAACTTATTGAAAGACAGTTGCCAGAATGACATGATTTGATGAATGCACTGGCCAACCTACTGCACGACATCAACTCTCTCAGCAACAATCTCAGCAGGCGCTGTTCACTTGGTTGTGAGCTTACTACTACTAAAAGGCTGAGGAACTTGTCTTTCGGGATAGCGCATAGGAGGGCAACAAGTTGCCAATTTGGCGGGTGCTCTGTGTCACGGTTATGGGCGCTGCCATAATAGCGTTCGCTGCTGTAATAACTCAAGCAGTAGGGTAGTATAAGTGCAAGACGGTCGTCCCCATCAACGGCATTTATAATACGATATTCTTAATTTTATTTATTTGGTGATGTTACCGCTAAAGCGATTTTGGCCGAATTCAATACAGAAAGTCAGTAGTTTCTCTGCGGTGCCAGCTAATGCCAAGTAAACCCAAGTCCTTCTAAACTGGGGTTTTCCATTGCATAGTAAGACCTTGCTCTTCATTTACCACTACCAGCAGGTAACACATTTAGTACTTTTAAGGCTGAAGCACTTTCCGGAATTCAGACAGTGGTATTTGCCGTCACCTACGGGCAAAGGCCTGTAGATCTTCTGAGAAATCTCTCCCTTCAACTCTCCAATAATCGCTTCATCGTATATTTAAAGGGTCCATATTGCCCTATACTATAGGGCATATGAATTTTTTTGCCTTTGACGCACTCAAAATACATTTGCTTTCTTATACTCACTTATACTTTTCCCACTTGCGCTTCAATTGCCATTTGAGCACACAATTTAATATTATATTAAAACTACTTTTAAATCCTCATTTTCAGTATAAAAAAGACATCCCCACTTACTTTCAAAGAGCCTCATAAAATTTGCTTTGATATTCGCACACAATTGCGCTAATCTGTTACTCATACGCCCTGGTGTTATCATTTTACTTACAATTTTTTTATATGCAAATGCGCTAACTTCCTATGCGTCAGCGCCACACCCCAACCACGCTGAAACGTTCTCACTCATCCGCTCATAAATAAGCAAAGCAACAAATAATCGTACATTTGTTATGTACGCTAAGTATGGCAACAATTTCCAACCTCCCAACCAACCAACCAAACCGGTGTTGCAACACCGGTTACAAAGCCACCACTCGGTCGCACGCACGCACACTCACACCAATTACAACAACCAGCCGTTGAATAATCGACAACGTCACATAACAAGCTATTTTCGCTGGCAGTCGTTCTGTGCGTCTAATGTGCAGCTAAACTGAGCAAATTTGCTGTATTCTTGGTTGCTTTTGTTGTTGTTGTTGGTGTAAAGTGGGTCGTCTTGGCAGCAAGCGCTAAGGCGCGTCGTTGTGAAATAAATTTGCCTGACATCTCTTGAGATTGCCCTATACAGCGTACTATGCAACAACACGGAAGGAGGATTTGTCGCGTCAAAATATTCAACTTGCCTCAAGCTCATCAACCAACGCACTTTGTTGGTAATTTGGTAATACTTGAGGGATATGGTTGAGTGAGTGTTGGTCGGGACGGAAGGTGCGGTGTGTTTCGTTGTGTAAGGAGTATTGGGCTTGGTTTTGGCTTGCTTGGCTTCAGGAGATGGGCTACTCATGAATCGGCTAGGGCTGGGTTGATCTACATATATGTAAGTATGTAGATGTTAGGCTGCTTGAATGAATGCTTCCTTGAATGGCTGCTTGCTAGGTTGCTTGGCAGGTTGGCTGCTTGGCTTGTGTCGTAGCAATCTTTAGGGATACAGCTTTGCTTAAATTGCCAGAATGCAGATAGAGATAATTTAGTTAAACGCATTGAACAAATGAAATAAACTAGATAAATAAATGAACGAAAATAAATAGAGAGAAAGCTAGAAAGCTAAATAAGTGCGTCCAAGTGAAACGTTGTGAAACTTTGGGAAATACTATATATGTATGTGAGTTGGACTGTTGCTCAACTGGCGCTTTGCTTAGGGATTTTGCACAAATTAATTACATAAATGAGTTTGCATTGTATTAAGCCAAAAGCTGTCAACATTTTCTTAACTGTGTTTTATCTGTTGCGTAAATGGAAAATATGTTTTTTGTTTTTAAAGTTTTTCACAAATAAATAAGAGTATTTCTTTCTTTTTAATTGCAGTTGAAACAAACTTAATGCGTGGTCCGGCATAAAATCAAGGTGAGCATTTAAAAACACTAAGTTTTTTTAAGTTTGTATATTTAAATATCCCTTGGCTTTGTGGTTTTGAAGCGAAAATAATTAAAAAGTTACACTGGTTTACAGCAAAAACTGCACACTGGTTGTCACTATCCAAATTTTTTTATGGATATATTTTTTAAGTTTTTGCAATTTACCGCTATTCGGATTAAAAAAAAAACAATAATTGAGCAATTTTAATACGAAATGTGACAGATGAGATATCAGCACGAAAGAATGTTACTCATACGCCATGTAGATATGAGTAACACTGTCCCAGTGGGAAAATATAATGTATGTATAGTTATCGAAAAAATAAACAGTAAAACAACCCTCTGCATATTCGAAAATGCATTTTTTCCCCCACGGCGATGTCCTGAGAAAAGTGGGGCATGCAGTTTTGTATTACCTAGTATCGAGAAATGAATGTAATTTAATATGAAATTTTTTGGCCTTTTGGATATATTAGAATGCTGATTACATATTTGACAGTAATAGATTCGAGAACTCATAAGAAATACATGCATGTAATGCATTACTACTTTCCCGACTGTGGATTCCTGCTCATATTTCATACTTGCGCATTTTTATTTGACCACTCATTTTTTATTTATCCATCGATTTTCTTTATAAGTAGCTTGATTTTTTTTGTAGTAGCACGGGCTTTAAGACAAGCTAAAAAAAAAATATAAAAATATTACACAGAACCTCGCTTATTTTTTTAATTTTTCGCTGTTAAAGTTCGAGTTTTTTTTTAATTTAACACCAAAATAAACAAAAAATCTGGAATGAACAATTAATTTCTCAGAATCTGTCAGCCCTATCGAAAAGTGATGTGTACCTATACGGTTTATGGAAAATTTTGTTTGCTTTCTTTTGCCGTATTTCGTATTACAACTGTTATATATGCTCGTAAGATATAAGTGATTAAGTGCACCCCATTTTTTAAGCTGAATAACTGTAAATTGAAAATAACTCGAAATCTTGACCACAGAAAAAAATTAATTAAATTTTCGGAATCTGTGAGCCATTCTACATAGGAATTGGAACAAAATAAGTAAAAACACAAATTTGTGATTCAGTGTTATTAACTGACGGATTTACGCTATATAAAGTGTGTGAAAGTGATAACAACTGATTTCGTTGACTGGCTGCTAAGGATGCAGTAAATTAATGCGAGAAATTATAATTTATTTGAGCTTAAGCGGAAAATAAAATACGAAAATTCCAACATGCCGCGAGAATTTCATATTCATAGCCATATTTGTATATGCTCATCGGTAAAGCATTATCAACGCGCCGGTGTGAAAACGCGAGTTTGTATGCATTTACATACTACATGTACTTGAAAATATTTTCCAAAAAAAAAAAAAACAATACAGACCTGTACACTAAGGCGTATCACGAAAGAAGATTTAGCGAAGTTTGGAATGCAATTTCTCGAAAATACGATGATAGATTTTCTCCAAAGTATCGAAGAAAGTTACTAGTTCACAAAATTCTTTAAGTATATGTATATTTTTTTGGTTTATTGCTAATTATTTTTGAGTAAATGAAAGATTTTCATTAGTAAAATTTGGACGTCTGCGACATTTGTCAACAATTTGGCAGCCACCTTGTATGAAATAACACTAAGGACCGTTTATAATCGACTTCAAAAAAGGAGGTTATTAATTCGTTGAGATGATTTTTTTTTCACGTATGTTACTGCATAACTTTGGACCACGTCAACCGCTTTCGAAAATTCGCATCGGAATGGTAGTGTCTCAGGGGTGGTCCCCTACTAATCTAGTTTCGGTGCGATCATTGGATCATGAAAAAATTAACGGTACTCCTAAATTTGTATATGAGATTTGAAGTCGGTTTTGTTTTTTTGCTTAAAAATTACTTGTTACAGTGACGAGTTAACTCTCTTCGGTAGTTAACTACAGGTTTTCATTACAAAAATTTAAAGTTAACACCCGAGTTTGCTGTAAAAACGGCACTAGGTGTGTTAAAAATCTATACTAAATTAACGAAACTTTTTCTGAGTATCTCGGAAATTATTTTCAAAATTTTGTAACGCCATTTTAAAGATCTTGATTAGTTAAGTATGACTAGCATTATTAACTAAAGTTTTTACCAAATTACCGAAAAATTGTTAGTGAATTTCTCCGATACTAAAGGAGATATGCAAAAACTGATAACATCAGTCGAACGATTTTATTTTAAAATATATATCTGCATCTATAACTTAAAATCGTTAAAATGGCGCTTACGGCAATCTTTTATCCAGGCGACGTTATGTCGAGAAAATATTGAGAATTTTTGGTATTAAACATTTTTTTTTCGCTAAGCAAGAAAGAAACTCGCTCAACTTTTGAAAATGTTATAATCGGCCAATAATTTAGAACATGAAACGTTAAAATAAAACTAAAAATATCACGCCCCACACAAGTGTTAAAAACATTACAACTGTATTATTTGTGAATAAAGCCTAATACTTTTTTCTTTTCAATTTTTTGAGTGCTTTGCATTTGTAGTAAAATAAAAAAAATCTAGGGATAGTATTCTCAAATTAATGCAGGTATAAATCAAAACGGACTATAAGGCCAAAACCTTTTGAGGGCCTCTAAAAAATTTACAGTTAAAATTTGTTCTCAACATAAGTATTCGAATAAAATTTGCACACGCTAAATTTTTGTTTCTTTCATAAAAATGTAGTATGCGGTATAATGTACACTGTACAAATATATGTACATTGGATTTATATGTACATATAGCTGCTTATATCTCACGGCTGATGTGGCGTACGCATTCTGTAATCAAAAAGCGATTTCGTGAAGTTAAATCGCTTGGCAAGCATTTAAGGCTAAAAGCCAGAACTCATGCACATAGTCACATGCTAGATAGTTATGACTATACGTTCATGCATGTTCACACATGTCTGTATGCACAGTAAACCAATATTATTTCTGACGCCGGCGGCAACAATTTACATGTGAAATCAGTAGTCGCCAATGGACCACAGGCCGCGCACAGTTAAACAAATATGTAAATAATAAACAAATTTATTTACATTTTTGTGACACCACGTTGAACTTTGGACGGTGTATACACGGGAGAAAATAATTTAATGCAATTAACTTACACGCACTTATAAATTGGTAATTATTCTCAAAGGCTGTAGGCTAAAAAAACCTGAAAGTACTGTAAAGAAATCCTTTAGGGTAGAAAAAACTCGTTCGTTTTAAGAACCATAAACATTTAATGGTGTTTTCGTTTCTACCAAAAAATGTCGCCTTTTGATTGTCGATTTCTCTATCATGTTCGATTCTCAAAATAAAGGCGAACGGTGAGAAACCTTTGTGCTCTTTTCTTCAAATGCCACACTCTTGTAAGGCAAAAAGGTATATTTTCTGCCCTTTGAAGCTTTATCCGGCGAGATGGTTGCTTAAAATGGCAATATTATGAACGGCGTGAGCTAGTTGCTTCCATATAACGAATATATGCAATTTATTTTTACATGGAAGAAAACCGCAACATCTTCGAAAAAAAATTCTAAAAAATTAACGGCAATCTTTAGGCATTTCAAACTTGTACTTAGAGTACTGAGAATAAATATTTATAGGAAATCTAATTGAGAAATCTCGGATTTTTTTTTTAATATTGCAGAAAGTTTGAAGTTTGGATTTACACGGGTTTTGTTAAAGAATGCACTATGTTTTCATAAAAATAATCAAAAATTAAATAAAAACAAAAGTAACAAGTTAAAACTTCTCAATATAAGGTGCGGCTATAATTTTTTCGCCCACTGTATATACAGTAGTACACAAAATAATAGGAGTATGATATTTTGACCAGTTTTCTCTAATTTTGTTTTGTTTATTTAATACTCATTATTTTTTTTGTAAAAAAGTCTAGCAGGTTATACAATAAACACTAAATAAATCCACATTTCAAACCAGGGCCGGCGAGAACCCGATTTTGGCTGGGGGGGGATGAGAATCCAAAATTTTGTACCCCCAAGTATGAAAGACTTTTATTTCATTTTATTATATACTAGCAATACCCGGCGCGCATTGCTACGCCAAAGGAAAACACATGTATTTAGAGTTTTGAAATTGAATACCTTTTTATATACCTTATGCTAAGGGATAAACAATATTTTTAGTTTTTTCATTTGGTGTGTAAATATATAAATTTTGTGGTGTCCCAACTCGTGAACAGGCGACGTATAATTGGCCATGTGAAAAGCACGAATTTTTCAAATCCAAACCCGCGATAGTTAATGATTGCCCTTGTGCCTTATTTATAGTTGTTGCAAAGACAAGGTGCAAAGGGAATTGAAGCCGCATGAATTCGAACGGTAAATCGTTGGAAATCATCGGTATACGTGGAATCACCACATCTTCGCCTTTGAATTTACCGCTGATGATTGTAGCCTCGATCAAATTCGGTGTTAATTTTTTTATTATCACTCTGGTTCCGTTACACAGTCTTGGCGCGTTCAAGTTCCGAATAAGCATCACTGGTGATCCAACTTTTAACGCCAACACATGAGGAGGCATTCCAGGTTCGCGGAGTCATTCCGGATTTCGGTAGTTGATCGTTAAGTTGGGAAATACTCTGACGATGACGTCTTGAATGCTCTGCTGCATTTGACAAAAGTTAGACGGAAGTGATATCTCATTTGTTGTGCGATCAGTAGGAACTTCACCGTTTCCGATATCCAAAAGTTGCTTTGAATATATTTGAGCAGACGTATCTTGCAGCAAATGCACTCGCATATTTGTTGTGAGCGTAATTTTTCCGACATAGTTCCACAGATGCGATGCCTTTAAGCACGCGTTCAGCTCGTCTGCAGGCATAGATCGTGGTATAACGGATAATGTTTGTCGAAAATCACCTGCAAGAAGTATAAGAGCGCCTCCCATCGGTTGGTCTTTTCCACGAAAATCTCGCAGAGTTCGGTCAA